TCTCAGTTTACATTTGGGTACTGAAAACATGCTGTTTCATTTTGAACTTTGGTAATCACAGGATTTATGTTTTTAAACTGGATTGATACGGAAATGTGTTTATGAAAATAGTAAAAGTAAGTGTTGTTAAAATGTAAATCATAATATAATTTTCAAGTTACTGTGGATATAAAAAGCAAAAGAATCACTTTAACTAAAATAAAACCCCCAACCAACCAAAGGAAGAATAAATGCAGAAGGCATAAAATAAGAAAGAAATACATATTGATGATGATGATCAATTATTCAAAATTCCTATCTTTGCTAAGAATTTTTGTTCTTGTTACATGGTTACATGTGAGATAATTCTAATTTGGACAAAGAGGGAATGCTCTGATTCATATGATGAAAACAGAGTTCTGTGGGATCCTAGAAGTTTACTTCAACCAGAATCTTAACCACCCCGGAGACTCTCTTATGTCAGCTGTGATAATGGTCTTTCAGTTATGTCCATGTCATAGTTCTCAGGGTCTATGAATATATTAGATTATATGGCTGTCAGGGAATAACAAAATATATATTAAAAAGATGTATTGATCTCAAAGCCTCTGTACCTATCAACATTACCTTGTTTGAGAAAACAGGTTTTCCTTGCAGATGCTATAAGCTAACAACACCTTGGGGTGGGCACGATATCGCTGATGTTTTTTTCTAAGAAGACAGACATGGGAATAGTCTCAGATGCAAGGAAAGACAGGATGTGAGAACCCACCTCCAAGCTAGGAATTCTAAGCATTGCTGGCAGCCACGGGGAAAGAGGAGAGCAAAATCACCAGAGACTTTCATGTGGACTGCTAGGCTACAAAACCATGAGAAAATAAATTTCCATTTTTTGAGGGCTCTCACTCTGTAATCTTTTCGTCATGGCAAATGTAGGATAATACAGCAAAGACAGAGAAATTGCATATGGTAAAGTTCTCACTGGAATTAAGATTGCCAACATGTTGACTTTAAAAGAGAACAAGTATCCTAAATTAGCCAAGTGGGACCCTAGATCTGAGGGTCCTTAAAGTAGAAGCAAAGGAAGCGTCAGAGAGACACATGTCTATGGAAGGAAAACACAAACAATAAAACTTCATTGGCTTTGAAGATGGCAGGAGGGAGGAGAATCAAAGGGGAGCAGGCTTCTAACTCCTTGCCTCTAAGACAGAAGCAAGCAGCTCAGAGCTGCCCCTCTGTTGGGTTTTCTGAGGCTCTAAATTAGGTGGGAGGAGATTGCCGATCCCTCTCCCAAAGAGCTGCTGGTGGATTTGAGCCACCAGAGAGATGTGGCCTTGGAGTTAGCAGCACAACTTCCTATGGACTATCCAACCAGAAAGTTCAAAGTGTGAATTCAGAGAAGCCAGCAAAGGGAACAGATTCTGGACCCAGGAAGGAGCACCACCCTGTGGGTTCTTTGATTTCATCCCAATGAGTCTGATTTGGGACTGCTATTCTCTTGAATTTTAAGTATATGAATTTTGTATTATGTCAAGTGCTAAGCTAATTACGGCAATTTGTTATGGCAGCAATAAGAAAACCAGATCACAATTTCATCTCTCTCAGCTTGTGGATTGACTTTCTCAACAGAGTTGGACGCATGGCTACCATTTCTTCTAGAGTTGAACAAGTATCTAACTCTAGTGTCCATGCTCCTGTGCTTGCTCCAACTTCACCAAGGAGACTGGACCAAATGCCAGGTTCAGATACCAGGCAGTGCTCCTACAGGCCCACCTTGGCTCACAAGTCCCCAGATTCTAAACCAAAGTGCTCTGGACTCTTACAAACTCAATGATGAACAAAGATACCGAATCTCTCTCTCTCTTTGTCTTGCTGCTGTTAGTTCATTGCCGACTCTCCAGCAGGATTTCAGAGGCTATAAAACAGATTGCCCATCTTTCTCCCAAGGAGCGGCTGGTAGATCCAAGCTGCCTTCCTTTTGTTGGGAAGTGCGACTCCTTACTGATTAGGCCACCAGAGCTCCCTAAAGATGCTAATGAAGGTAACAAATAGAGCAAGGATGACAATGTACTATCACTCTGAGGTAAATGAAGTAAGACATAAATGTCAAAGACAGTAATCAAGGATGACTCCTGGGTTCTGGGTTTTCTGTCATAGCATTTGCTCTTTATTTCATTCTTGAAAGTTTTCTGTGTATGTGCTATTTCCTGATTTGGGTAGAAAGGAAGAAGCAAGCAGTTCTGTTTTTAAACCCATTCTATTTGACTGTTTACTAACTATTCAAATTGAAATATCAAGTGGACAATTAAGTAGGAAGTTTATTTTTTTTTAAACTATAAGAAACAACCTCTCTGGAAGTTCACAGCCACCAGCTTCTCTGAGGAAGAAAGACGGGGAATTCTCACCTGTGCATTTCACAGCCTTTAACCTGCTTGGGGGGTTCTGCTGTGAGATGCTGTGACTCAATAGCAAGGTGTTTTTTTAGCTTAGTAGAAACTTTAGGTATACAGGCTGGTGATGTATGTTAAATATTTTCAGAGAGAGTATAATGCCAAGTATGAATGAATAAATTCTACAGGGAAAGAGGATACAATGGATTTAAGTGCCTACACAACATATGAGCAAGAGCGTATGGTGATGAAAGAAGAAGTTCAGGCTGCTTTGAAGGA